CACCTGACTCGGTCAGGAACTTGGTGTGCAAAACGTGGAAACGCCATTGCCTTTGGTTCTGTGGGAATGTAAACACCGCCGCCACCATTCACGATACACGTCCAGGTCGATCGTAGTTTCTCAAAGACAGTAGGACAATTGCAGTGCTTTCATTTGCAATAGTACATTTTACAGCCCTAAAAGGTTTTTAAAGGTCAGGTGTCAAATGTCTCCTTGTGAAGTCTCACTTAGAAGCTATGATGTGCAAATACGAGCTGTTAGAGCGGTGGGAAGGCTGTAGGAAAAGAGATACTGGGCATCTCCATTTCCACTTTGGGGAAGTGTAAAAAGCTATAAATCTTTTATTCAAGAGCCATAATATCAGCTTTACCTCTGCTCAAAGCACTGAAACTATGTTCATGGAAAATTTGGGACCACTCTTTCTACTCTGCCAGCGTACTTTGTATATGAATGGAGAATGACACAATAAATTAAATAAGTGTACTTTCTTTCCTCAAAAATATATAGAAGCCAATCCTCCTTTCAGGCAGCTTCAAACACGATGGAAGCAGAGATGCGTTTCCCTTGGAAGCGAATGGGAGTGCAAAAAAGACATCATTAGGACTCTGAATTCGGGGTGAATTTGTGACAGTCTAGGCACACAGCAAGTTTATCACGAGCCGCGTTGGATGAGACTGATTGTTGAAGGTAAGGAAGAATGCCCCAAAATGAGACTAGAGTTTTGCAGTCTTCTTGCCAGGACATTATTATATGTTCAGCATTTTTCACCAATCCCGCTACCTACTGAGATCAAAGAACTTGTTTTTCATTAACTTCCAAAGCAAGATTCAAACTGTAGCTATTAGCTTAGAGGAAACCTTCAGAGACCCCTGGTATTTCCACTGACATCAGTGAACAATACTGTTTGCTGCGACTGTGTGGTTGCAGAGCAGGTAGGTATTCACACCTGCCAAACCTTCAGTGATTTCATGTGAGATCCAGTGGTATCTACACTTTAAATCAATGCAGAAAACGAGCTGGCCGGCTGACTACAGTCACTCTATTTAAATCAATATAGCCTGCTGCGATGGAGCATTTTTAATGAACTGCGATTGCTGCATCCGGTTAGCTAAACCTTTAGTAGCATGACTTTATTTTCACTCTAATGTAGTTTTATTTTTTCTTTAGACCCATGTCTGGATTTTAAAGCTGTCTTTTCGAGTCCTCTGCCCTCCTGTGTTTGATTTGGAGGATAACAGACCCCCCATACCCCTGTTTGGATTGGCAGACTACTTTGGTGTGCCCAGAGCCACGCTTTCGTTAAGTGTCTGGAAAACAACAGTAGAAGTTAACATTAAAGTACATGCTTATAAATAAGTGCAAATGCTTCCTTTCACCAGTGATGGTCTGTAATAGCCAATGTTGTAACAAAGCAGTCTAGAATGGCACACTAAAGTTTGGT